CCCCAAAACCCCAAAACCCCAAAACCCCAAAACCCCTATTATTCTGGAATTAATTGAGAGGGTCATTCAAATTTTTTATCTAGATTTCCAATATGGGAATTCAGCCACTCAAAAATCTAGTATACTAATTCTGTGTCAAACTATGCTTTCTAAACCCCCGATGGTATTTGTGAGCTGGAGAAGCTTACTCAATCTAAGTTCCATGCTCGTCCTAGTTTCAACCTAAAATATGGGATTCTATAAAGGCCCTAGCTTTGCAAAAACCCTCCTTTGTTGTATAAATCCTTTACTAATTTGATTAAGGGTTATTTTCTACTACTCCAGGTCATCAAGGTCAACATCATCCGCGTCATCCTCATCATCAAACAGGTCTTCTTCGATTTTCATGCCTTTAGCTTTGGCGATTTCTTTATCAAGCTCTGCTTCTTCTTCATCAATTCCAAATGTGATTTCTCTGACGTCTCCTTCATCTTGCTCTTTCTTCTCGTACTTTTCTTCTTCGTCGTCAGAGCCATCATCTTCTTCATTCTTGAAGAGTGTTTCATCATATTTGAAGAGTTGTCTTCCTGTGAGGTAGACATCCTTTCCGCCCTTGACTCCTCTGACTTTCTTCTCTTCTTCTTTATCATTCTTCCTTCTTTTCTTAATCATTTTATCGTGCCACTCCTCAAATGTCTCCTTTGTGACAGGGATTCATTTCTCAACATTCAGTTTAGCTCTTTCTTCTTCTATTTTGTATTCGAGGGCCTTGTCATCATCATCTTCCTGCTGCATCCTCATTAATGCTTCCATTGTGGACTTGAGCATGTATCCTTCTGGCAGACAATGACTGTATCCGCATTTGATACCGCCGTTGGGACAAGTCCACTGCCATCCATAGACATTTTTCTCGCATGCGTCGAGAAAAGCATCGCAAATTTTAGGAGATCGTGTTGGATCAGGCTCCCTAGGATCAACATAAATATTAATTTTGGCTATTTTATCATCAGCAATTTTCTCTTCTTCAGTCATGTCGTCTTTAGCTTTCTTATCTTCCTTCTTAGCAGTACCTAGGGACTTCTGGAGGAAGCCAAGGAGAGCATCTGTCTCCTTCTTCTTTTTCTTCTCCTGTTTGGCTTGTTGTTGCTGGAGAGCTTTCTTCTTAGGATCTTCCTTATATACCTGCTGGGCGATCATATTGATCATTTTCTGTTGCTTCTTTCCCTTCTTGTTCTTCATACCGAAGGTCTTGTCGTCGAAGACCTTATCCTTCTTCTTTTCCTCAGTCTTTTTGTTGACCTTGTTTTTACCCATTTTTCTAGATAAATTCAATAATTTATATATCAATCGGGGTTTTGGGGTTTTGGGGTTTTGGGGTTTTGGGGTTTTGGGGTTTTGGGGTTTTGGGGTTTTGGGG